AAAAATCATGGAGGTATTTTTTGGTATTTTTGGTATTTTTTTTTTAAACTTAATTCAAAGTTGATAAACATTTAACATAAAAAATTGGGACCAATTGTTAATATTGTAAAAAGATTGTTTAGCAGTTTGGAAGGTACTACAATAGTACCTTCCAAAAATCAAATTAAAAACACAAATTTTCGGTAAATGGCACATGTTTAAGAAAATGCACCGAAAATTGCAATAAATTTCTGGCATCATTTTCTACAACAAATTGGTAAATTCAGTAAAAGTTATGGATAGTGTTAAAATCTACGTTCCTTTGTTAACATTTTGGGATATATGAATTTATAAAACATAGACTTTAGTTTTTTGATTTTTGTCCATTGCTGGACACACTGTGCGCCCGTAGAAAAAATCCGGTAGTGGGTGCCGATTCAGGAGGCTGAATTGAATTTAACGATTCTTAAAATGAGCATCGCTCCGGAGTTGGTTCATCTTTCGTGCAGCGAAATTTAATTCACTCGAGTGGGTGGGATAAAAACGTTGCACTTACGAATCACGGGTGTTCATTTTAAGAATCACCACTGTACTCATAGTACAACTAATTTGGAACACCGCAATATTGTAGAATTGTGATTTCATCATCTATTGGCGATGAATGATTACGAATGTCATTTGTTGTAACTAGCCCAATTTCCAAAGCAACATGTGTTTGAGTTTTGCAAGGTGATCTTATCATTAATATACATATAAATATAGTATTGCATTTTACGAAAACTACGAGCCCTAATATAGAAAATGAGGACCCCAGTAAAAAAAGTAAACATTTCATAAACTGCTTTTATATTTTAAATTTGACTGTTACCACTCAAAAGAGCATAACATTTTATAAAAGTTCTGCAAGCAAGTGAAACATGTGTATAAAAGAAAGAATTTCATACCAGGGCAATTCACCCTATTATAAACAGTTTCTAAAGAAATCGAATCCTGGAAAACTTGCGAACGACCGAACATTTTTCACTTTTATGTATTTAGATTCACCCACACTTTGATCCGCGCAATAATTGCACGGTATTCAGATGCAAATTCGGCCGCGTAGAACGAAGATCGCGACAAGTATTATCGTTTCTTCGCGCCCTGTGCGCGTTACGACACCGAAAACGGAAGCGCGTTTTTATCTCAACGATGATTATCGCGTGATTATTCTCCGTTCGACGCGCCGTGGGAACGTCGTTCCGTTCTTTGTCGCAAATTAGCCGCGTATTTTGTCTTTTTTTTTTTTCAGTTGCCTTCGGACGCTACAGTTTTTCCTGTTAGTTCCGCTCACGTGCACCGCGAACGCGCGCGTTTTAATTTAACGACGACGGCAAACAAAGCCTCCGCGTTCTCGAGGGCTGGCGGATATTAATGCTGCGTTCTGGTTCTCCTTATACAGACTCGAATCGGAGTGCGAGAAACTGGACGGCGGAAAAAATAGGGACGTCGGAGATTTACGCGACGGCGAGCCTGGAAGGAAATAAAGCACACAGAAAACTGGCGAAGGGATGTTTTCCTTTTGTTTTTCACGCGACATATCGTTCGTCCGTTGTTCCCGGATTACGAACCGATTCAAGTTTCGATTAATATTTATTAATTGACGTTAAAATTAATTCCATATCGCGTAACAAATTTGCTACGACTCGATGAACGTACACGACGTGTATCGACCGATCGAAATAAATTCCATTTAAACTCGCGTTTGCTCAACGAGCTCATTCCTGGTCCGGGTTATTTCAATCTTTGGTGTTTACAGAATGAAATATCAATTCACGGTTGATTCCCGGCGTCTCCCTCGTGACGGTCGCGCGAAAATGTGGATTTCGTAGGATGTCCGTGTTAAATCAAGATTATCCCATTCTTCGTGCCCTGGCGCGTTAAACGCGTGCGTTTTAAAAGAGTAGAAACGAGTAAAAAAGCTCCAGGCCACTTTGAATGCGCAAGCCATGTAACTTTATATTTTTCTCAAACCTTCTGCCGAGTAGCTCTGTTTTTAAACAACATTTTCTAGGGTAAGATCGCCGGAATAGGGCGATATTTTTTTAAAGCAGCGCTTCGTTGAGAATAATGAACAAAGTCAAGCTCCGAGGAGAGAAAGTTAACTATTTTTTCTAGGTGCTTTCTTACTTGGTCCATTCGTTTGAAACACTCGTTCCGTATGACGATATTTTCTTTTTAAGCGGTTCGTTGTTGAGAACAATTCAAAAAGACGAGTTTTAATACCGGAGACTCTAGGCTCTGCGAATGAGGCAACCCGCAAGTTTTATTTTTCTCTTGCGTGTTCTCTAAGCTTTCCCAATTATTTGAAATACACATTCGGGTAGAGGACATTTCAGGGAAGGGATGATATTTTTTAATAACCGGTTTATCGTTGAAAATAGTTGAGAAAGACGAGTTCAAACATGGGAAGACTCATGGACGTCTTATTTTTTTACTTCCTTGTAATACATACAATAATAATATTATTTTTATTACTACGAATAACGAAAGCGTACGTTGATACATTGCATGGAATAATAAAATTCGTCTTTAGAATTCGAAGACGGTTGCATCAATATCTCGCGACGCTTATTTGATTTCGACGAGCGGTGCACGGCTGCAATATTTGCAACACGGATTTCTAAACATCCTGTGTGTCATGATACAGCTCGTTAGATTTCCTTCCGCGATAAGAACCAGCCGTATCGCGAACAGGCCGTCGGATCCAAAGCTATTAAACCATCGCGGGAAGAAGGAAAAAAAAAGGTTGCGAAACATAATTCTCGCGTAATTGGCATTATAAGCGCAAGGGAAAAACCGGAAAGAATTATCTGGACGTTGGAGTCGTTTCTGGACGTTCGTAAAATGCTATTCGTAAAATCACGGGTGAAAACGTGTACACGCGCGTACAAAAGCGCGGATATCGGTGCGCGCGCACCAACACGCGAGTTCCGTTTTGCATACGGTGGTACGCAGCGCGCTCAACCATTACGGGCACATATTTATTATAGGAACGGAAGGGGGGTTGCAATTTTGCAGGAACGCCACGGCCCCGAGCCTATTTCGCTGTCACGATGGTAAACAAAAATATGACGCGGTCCTGTTGTCGATAAAAAATTACTGCAGCCATAAAAGTGGTCTCGTGCGCGGTCGATCGCGCGGTCGTTTCGCGGGAAATTGTTATGTCGTCGGATCAATGGGAATTAATTTTCCATTTATAACGCCCTATTATTTCGGTCGAGCGCAATAATAACGCGCCGCATTAAAGTTCGATGATAAAGCGATAACGATCGACAAGAAACATACGCGGGACTGTATAGTACAGTCTCGCGAGAAATGAAACTCTATGAATTTTGTACAGTTAGGCTCAACAGGAATGGGACATTGGTCATTGGTGTACTCAGCGTGACTTATATTCTTAATTTGTTATTTCATTTAGACCTAGAGTGGACATTTTCGAACAAAATATTGCCCGCCGTTGAGAATCGATCGTTACGAAACAAATTATCGACGGGGTTCTTAGGACGAAAATTATACCAACCATAATTACGAGGATATTTGGACGATTTCGAGATCGACGAGCAATATTCATGAAACACACAATATTCATATGTACAGTGGGTGGCCAAATTACTAGGTATACGCATTAGATTATTAGTTATACACGCTGTGTGTATACATTCCGGTCAATTCGAAGCTATTAAAATAGCGGATATATAAACAAGCACGTATATTTTAGAATTATTGTCTTACGATTTGAAGAGACATTTGATTCGTTCAACAAAGTTGCTCGACGAAGTACCATCGTATAAAATAGATGTTTGAAATTTTTATTCGGATCTCTAAAAGAGCACCCAATCCAGATATTGGTAAAAAAAAAACTATTTTTTCTCTCTGCTGTAGATATTTTTTTGAATCGCATCAGTTTCCTTCCAATTAGCGACGCTTCGATATTCCCTACGAACCGGGAACGTTTTCACGCGAGGCGCTAATTTTCGGCGAAAATTCCAGTGAAAATTCTGATATCCCATCTCAGGTTCCACGTACGTTTCTTGCCTCGTAGCACGCGCGTCGGGATGGATTTTTTCGCCTCGATCGGATCGATTCGTTGCCATTAGCCGCGCTATTTTATTATTCGAAACGGCTCGATCCACGAACGTCGGTATTGGCCCGTGTAATTCTTGGCAAACACGCGTCACCGGGCGCATCGGATTTTCGCGTTCCACCGTGTCCAGTCAAACGATATAAATTCCTTCTCTGCGATTTCGCAGAATATTCGGCCAATTGCACCGTTTCCGACAGTTTTGATACGCCATTTAGAGCAGTGCCTGGGCGCCGATCGGACTAGCACAGGACAGACAGACAAACAGACAGACCGGACAGCCAAAAAGAGGAAACGCGTCTATACACACGATTTTCACCGTGTAACAACTATTATTGATGTTTGTTGCGGCTGCAACTAATTGTGTGTTTTTAATAGCTTGGCTGCGCTGCATCGTGCCCCTCGATATCCTCGATCAAGGGACACGATTGGAGCGGAAAATTGGTTCCCGCGAGAGACAGAGAAAAAAGAAACCGCCGGAAAGAGTTAAATATCGATAGTTCGCGGACGTTAACGATGTTACCAAACCGTTTCACACGCGATCGCGTTCCGGGTGTCTCGATCTCAGACAGAAATCAGAACGAAGAGCCTAAAAACAACAGTGTTTAAGAAATCATAAAGTTAGGTTTTTAGGTGGGACCGTACTATACAAGTTGTCGAACTATACACGCTATATTTAAATTTACGGTTTCGTAATTCTGAAGGAAGCCACACACCATAGTGATCGAAACCGATTACTAATTTTAATAATAATCAAACATCCGCCAATTTTGTTACGCGTCTCAAGTTTTGTAATCGTTTTATAAAAATCGTCCCGTGGCCCTCCCCAGAGCTTTTGTACGCCGCCTGCGTTGACTAATGTTTTTGCTTACATGTGCGTTTTCCTGCTTGTTCTGTACAGTATTAAGTTGGAGCTGGAGAAACTCGCCCAGGAGAAGACGGAGATGCAGCGCCACTACGTCATGGTGAGTCTGAAACCAATATGTATCGAGATAAAAATCGCGCGACTCTTACGTATCCGCTGTTGTTTCGTTTCTCGAAAGACACGGTATTCTATCGGGATAATAAATCCGAATTTGTGCCATGAGTCGGTAGCAACGCGAATCGAACATTTTCGTTCGAAGATCTAAAGATATATCCGGTGTTTTGGACGGGTGGTAGGTAGTAAAATTTATACGAACGTATACGAGGAAACCAACGCAACGACCATTCGCGGTGATGAAAGAGTGCATTATGTGTCGTGCACAGAGAGGAAAACTGTGCTTTCACGGCTACGCTATCTCCATCGCAATTAAATGGGATACTGCCGCGTTAAGACGATGCAAACTACATAGTTAGAAACGAATGAAAGAAAGCGGGTTTCTTGGTTAACGATGTTTATTGAAATCTGACTGCGATCTGAAGCGATCTGTTTGAAATAATTGTGGCGACCTGAAAACTCGAGTGATCTTTCTGATAAAAGCTTGTACCGTACAAGTTGCACGTAATTGATCGGTCTCTCGACTGGTATCCAACGTTGGTTAAGTAGGAATTTGAAATGTTATTGGTTGTAAACAATCTTCGTACGAAACAATTCACCCTTAGAAAGCATTTGATTATTAAGGACGTCGTTACAATCTCATTACGCGGTAACCTTTACAACAGCTTCTATTCTTGTTCTAAGGGATTCCAATTGTTAATTACATTATCAGTAAACGTTGAAATTTTTGTACAAATTGCAAGCTCGCTCCAGTGACCGTCCACGGAACTGTTTGACTATTTCGATTTTTCTTGACGAAGAAATGCTCGTTCTAGGAATAAAAGTAAAAGATAAGCCCGGACTGGCTGTTCAAATAAAAAAAAAATGATTATGAATAACCGTCGTAAAATTTGCACTTACGGGCCCGTTGAAAAGTTAAACACCGATAAAGGTGTTTATCGGTTAAAGAACTTTTGATATCTAACTACGCGATATTTCTGTTTGGAAATGCTGTTTCCCTCCCATCCGATAGAACGGAAACAAGATATCATTTTGTTTGCCATATTTGTCACGATTTATCTGTGCTTCTAATTGCTTTCGAACATCTGTCGCCCGGGAATGGAAAATAAAAATTCGCTCCAATCAATAAAGCAGATAAAACGCGACGCGATCGACTGATCGAGCGGGTTCGAGTACTATGGACGTACTAAATGTTGACACACCACCACCGTGTTGAAATGGCGCATGGAAAAGGGGGATCGTTCGTTCTCTCCCGCAAGAAATTCTGATTTTGACACCGTTATGTTACAATCAAAAATAATACTTTCAAATAACACCGATCGCTAGTTCCATAAGCAAGCAGTGTATTTCAATCGATGAGCACAATTGGGGAAATTACTCTTTTCCGTCAGTCAAATGCCAACATCTGATGCATCTACTGTGCATTCTCGAGAAGTTGGCTAGTGCTTGCTCCGCCCATTCCCACTCTCGTCGTACGACGCATGCGTAATTGGGCTCGCCAAACTGTAAACCAGAGTGGGGATGAACGAAGCACCAATCGGAGCCGCATTTCTGTCGCTGGCCAACTTCTCGCGAACGCACGACGTTCGTTCCTCGTATGGGCATCCGAAGCGATCGAGAACTGACCTTCTTCCGGCTGCCGGCGCATCAGGGGCTCCTTAAACAGCCCGGTTGATTTAAATACAGTAGCTTCGTGTTTGCGTTTAATTAATTCTTAATCCATCGATAGGCGACGAAGAAGCCGGCTTGCATATTTAAAAACACCGCCGCGCCGGCGAGTAGGAATTCATAAATCTTGTTAAGCACGACGCGTGAGAACCGGTCGATCTAGGCGACAATCTTTTAATAAAACCGACGACCCGACCTCCACTGCCTCATCAGCCATTCAGCCGACCCGCCGAGCGGGTTCTTCTCGCGTATTTCTTCGTCGTCGCGCTACCATCTCCTTTTTCAGTCGGTCGCGGCTGGCGCACGCAGGTGTTGTGGATACGCCTGGCAGCCATGTCGCGGCTTACTTTCGCCCGTAGATCTTCATTATTGCGGTGCAACGTCACCGGTGTATGCGTCTTCATTAGCAGAAGATACAACGCCGCGCTGTATATACGGAGTCGACTCCTACGGAGAAGGTCGCGGGTCGTCGAAGACGATGCAGAAAACCGCGACACGAACGAAAATTTAGCGACACACTTTCTCACGAAATAATGGAACACTTCAAATTAGATAATATTGACGATCTTACGGTCTTAGAGTTTCCCAATCTTAGGATCTCTTGTAAAAAAAAATGGTGTATGAAAAAAAAAGCTATCGCCATGAGGAACGATTAGACCCTGGGAAATCGCCGTCAGTTTTCTCAGATACAACTAGAAACGTGGTCTTGCGTGTTGCCAAGAAAAAAAAAAGAAGAATCGTTTCTGGAAAACATGGAGAAAGGTGGTCCAGGATTGGGAACCCCTGTTTCAGAAATGCTTTCAATCCGGCGCTGAATGGGACGTGGATGGTTGATTTGGAGTTGGCCAATTGCGAGGAGCTCGTTTATCGTTTGTTTTCATTCGGTGTGAGCTTTGTATTCTTGTTTGCGGTTTCGATCGGACGTTCTACAGGGTGGGTAGCCTAAAGCGTTACGGGCTATTTTCCCGTGGATCGTTCGACGCACAAACGGAATTTCGTTCCGGTATTTTGGAGACCGCTGAAACTTTCTAGGCGTATGCTTAATATCCTAAAATCTGCGGAAGTTGGTTCGATCGATTCCGATTCTGAAAATTGCATACGATCGATTGTTACTTTGCTAATTGTTCATTAGTCATTGACTTGAACTCGGTGTTGGTAAACATTGCCTATAGCGTGGTGTTATCTGTTTTAATCGGTTCTAGTTAGTTAGGAATGAGGAACGTTGACGGAAAACAGATAATGCCATCGTCAATGTTTACAAGAACGAACGCAAGTAGAAATAGTGAGTAATAGACAGACACGTCAGCCAAGTTGCGCTCGATCGAGAAAATTGTTTTCCTTGAATGGGAAACCTCGTATAAAAAAATTAATTCTACGTTTACGATTTACTTTTTCACTAATAGCCATCAAAGGGTGAAAATTCTTCATTTTCTTTCAGAAGAACGACACGTTAATTCTTGTATTCTCGAATAATATTTTTTGGGTTTTCCCGTGTACTAATAACTAGAAATATAAACGTTTGCTGGCACGCTGACACCGTTTTGAATATTTAATGAAATAATTTTGAATCTGGAACGCGGAATATTATTCATTTTTAGAGCTATATAAAATTTAGATATTTATTCACCCATTCGGAAAAATTGATTGAACGTGCTACCATTTAGTGAATTTCAAATGACTGGAAAAGAAATTGTTTATCCTGTATATTAAATTTCTAGCACAGAAAACATACATTTTGCTCAACGAACGGTCGAAATATATTCCAAAGAAGAGGCGTTATGGAAAATGTGGTCGCAAATTCGTATTGCTCAATTTTCTGCTCGGTTACTTTATCTTCAAAGAGTTCGTGCAGTTAAAAGGCGTATGCTAGTTGGCCAATAGCTTTCCAGCGCGATGACAAAACTGTCACGAGAGTGTTTATGACTTCTCATAAACTGACAAGCTTATTCGGTTCCAAGTCGTAAACCGAAAGTAACGTTTCTTTAACGACACAGGTTTCTTTGGTCGTGTACGCGAGTCGAGGAAATTTAAAATGTCTGACACAACTTCTGGAAAGATATATAAAGCCATCCGTATGCAGGCTTATGAATTCTGTGCCGCGTCATAACCACTGTACACGGCGTGGTTCGTTAAGTACGAGAATATTTTCAATAATAATAAAGAATTTTCATAAATACTTGTCACGTTTTTATTTTATTATACGAGCTACCAGAAATGGTCGATTCCGCTGATGTATCCCAGAGAATGGATTAAAATGATTCATGGGAACGTTATAAGATTATACACAAATAATCGTCAAGATCATATATCTGTATGACATCTTAAGCGTTCTATGTAAATATGAGTTATATGTTCCATAATCGGATCGGATGCAATTATCCGTTCGAGGCTGTTCCTTTGACCGTGAACGCATCTTTGGCGATCGACAAGCTTTATTTTTAATTTACTCGAACGCAAACCATTAAATATCTCAATGTAAAAACATTTATAGCGAACATGTCCTAACAGGATGATGTTCGAAAGCAATGCAAAAAATTGCATTCTTATTTTATCGCTCGATTCGCTGAATTCGATCGTCGAAATTGAAATTCATCTTACGAAACAGCCATATAGATTCGATCATAAATATGGCTGTAAAAAAAAAAAGAAAAAAAAAGAGGACAAACAGAAGCCTGCGCGTCGTCCAAGTTTATTGTCTTTCGCCTGCGTTGCGGTTATCGTGGACACGCGGTAATTTATAGGCCACACTTCGTGGCCGCGTTCGATGCAAATGACTTCATATAAAATGCGCGCTGGCTGGTTGCGTGGACGTGGCACTTCCGTCGATTCACGCACCACGAAGATTAATCGCGCGATCGCGACGACCGTGTACGAACGCGCGTACGGTCGACGGTCCCTCGAACGATTGATCGATCTTCTTCTTCCTCGAGGCGATCATATTTTTTTTCTCCCCGATTCCTCGCACGATCCGCGCGCGATATCCCATGTGGCATTTCAATTTACAGCGGCACGCACCCGGCCTCGCATCCGTCCATCTGTCGTTTTCCATGAACCTCCAACCGTGTTGCGTATTCTAGAAGAACGATCCCTGAAACAGGCCATTTTTGGTACTCGGAGACAGCGTGGATGTTACCACCTTAAATAATTCTCAAATTAAATATTGCATACACAATCATCTTCGATTTAAAGGTATTAAAATACACGCGAATCTTGTTCAAATTAATATAAAATTAAATATTATGCATGCAATTATCTTCGAATTTTTGTTGTTTCACCGCTCAAAGTAGAAAAATTCTCAATAGAGTTCAGAGTACTCGT